TTCCTTTCATCTCCTAATTATATACTTGTACTTTTTTTTTTCTTAATTTTCTTTTTGTTTTAATTTAACAGCTTCGGACATGATATCATGCTTCATAACATCTCAAAATATGAATGGAAACTTATTTTGGGAAAAGAAAATTGATTTAAAGTTTGTTTTCTTTTCCGTTGAATTTATTTGCTTCAACTTATTCACGCGAGCCATTTATTAACTAGCATTTATCGTTAATATACCCACACACACATCATGTGACTCTTATATATTTACATATCTAATACCTAATGTTTCATATTTACACTATAACACATTGGTTTCATATATCTAAACATGATAGTGTAATTCACTTTCCAAAATTTAGTAATAGTTATATTTTTAATATGATGTTAAATATTTAAATGGCATGCATGTAAATATAAAATTTTAGGTATTAGATGCCTAAATATACAAGAGTTGTATGTTGTGTGTGTGTGTGTGTGTCTATATATATATATATATATATTTGTGTGTGTACGCGCACTCTCCACAAGCCTTGGCCTGTTGGTGACGGGGTCACTGTAAGTCCTCTCCGGTCAAGGGTTCGATCTCACTGTGGCGTCGGGATTCTAGGATTTCAGCCACATGACGCGGGCTCTCATCATGGATGGTGACGGGGTCATTGTAAGTCCTCTCCGGTCAAGGGTTCCATCTCACTGTGGCGTCGGGATTCTGGGATTTCAGCCACATGACGCGGGCTCTCATCATGGAGCCAAAAAACGCATGGGAAATCTATATTTAGGCCTCTGTCAAATATTGATTTTCTTTTATACCAGAAATATTAGTGTGAATCTCAAAGCTTATAGGGTGAGTGTGGACATACCCCAAAAGGAGAAGATCAGCTAACTACGACGGAGAAACTTCCCAAAGATAGGAAACATGCACGGAACCCTACAAAGATGCAATGCAACCAGACATCCATTCACAGCTCCAAGACTTACAAGCCCAAATAACCTTCACAATAGAGTAGTTCAAAATCCTTTGGGCGGCAGTCTTCAAAAGAAACGAACCACCATCACGTTTGGAGGCGGAATCTCAGGGGGTTTGCCCTCAAAGGCCCCCTCCGGTGAACCCGCCTACTCTAAACAATCAGATCAGCAATCAGTAGACAGAGGGACAAGGCAAGTCCCAACAGACTGACACAACCACGTCTGTGCGGGCAAACATGTGATGGGAAGAACGGATGTGAGTGCATATCTGACCACTTACATGAGGGGCTTTTACTCGCTAAGTCAAAGAAGCAGCGCCACCACCAAGCTAAGGATCCCTCACTTGGATTTCTACAAAGGGAGGCACAACCCGATCGACCTCGTAGCTTCGTTCAAGTTGTCAATCGGTCTACTCCAGATCGGCCACCGCATAACATGTCGCCTCTTTTTTACCACCTGAAGTAATCAGTTCTTCAATGGTTTAATGATTTGCATTTTGAGACCATCTAAAACTATTAAGAATTTAAAAGAATCTTCAAATCACACTTCTCAAACGTACATAAATCAAGGAAAGACTCGAACAACTTGCTCGACATCAAACTAGGAGCGGGTGAGAGCCTACAGGCCTATATTACTTGCTTCGAGAATGAGATGCTAGAAGTTAGAAATATGATGTCCGAAATAGCCGGGAGAGCTTTGAAGTAAGGATTCTAAAGAAAACAGTTTAGCTGTAACCTAAATTTGTTTATAGCTACAACTTTTGCAGAAGTATTAGAGATGACGACGACCACATACTCACCGAGGAAGAGCTCCAAGGTCCCCCGAAGGGAAAACCAGAATCGTCCTACCACCCACCAAAGAAGCGGAAAGAACAGAGCGAGCCGCATAGAACGAAGGGCAATCGGTCGTCCACCGGTCACAATAACAACAACTCACAGCTCGAGATTAGCGGAGAAGCAACCAAAAGCAATGCTCTAATCAACATTCAACTTAATATTATGAGAGAGAATATGTTTACATAAAAAAATTAGGCCTGACACCTCTCAATGTATTGATGGATGAAATTGTTTAGGCCATCCAAAATAAGAACTACTTCAAGTTGGCCCGGCCACTGAAGGCGGCCCCGACCTTACGGGTTTCAAAAAGGTACTGTCAGTACCACCGAAACCACGATCATGACACTGATAAGTGCAGATACCTCTGAAACTTGATTGAAGAATTCATCTGCATCGGGAAGCTCAAAGAATTTAATGCAATTGGCACGCACACACAGTGATGGGGAAAAACTTCAGC